TGTGCATTGTCAGCACTTTCCATAGACGGTTTTCCACAGGCCTATCTGAAGGCTGATTCCCCAGCCTGTGGTGTGACTGACACATGGTGGGACCTTCAGGAAGTAGAGGCTAGTGGGAGGAATTTCATTTAGATCCCCGGGAGTGTTACTGGGGCCCCACCCCCCTCCTCTCTTTCCTTCTTGGTGACTGTGAGGCGAGAGCTTTCTCTGCCTCGTGTTCCAGCCATGATGTACTGCCTTGCCACAGGCCCTAAAACAACCAGCCAATCAACGGCAGACTGAAACATTCCAAATGCTGGACCAAATTGTCTTTCCTGCTCAGAAGCTGATTACCTCAGAAATTTTGTCACGCTGACTGAAAGCTGAATGGCTGCACGGAATACAACCTCACCATGGCCTTATGCAGTGGTAGCTGGACTCCAGAGCGGGTGCACTTGCCAGCGGCTTCACTGTTGGAAGACCCCACCCAGTGACATCCAAATCCTGCCATTCTGCCACTGCTGGGCACAGGCTAGGCCCGAGAGTGAGCCTGGGTGTTTGTGAGCGTGTGAAGAGACTTGTGCTCATTTTGCTTTTTTTGGGGGTGGGTCAAAGCAGTTTAGCAAAGAAACATCCTGCTTTTGTCCCTAAAGGGCCACCGTGGAGGTGGGACATAAAGGCTGGGCTCTGGGGACTTGGGAGCCTCAGCTCCCCTCCTTGCTGAGTGGTGTTTTATTTTCAAGTTCTCAGGAGTCTCTGGGTTAGATTCTGCCAAGGGGGTGGGGGGGGGGCAGAATGGAAGTTCAGGTGGCTCTCAGGTCTAGCAGGAGAGATGTGGGTACTGCTAGGCATCTCTGAGAAGTCAGGCAGTGTGGCATACAGCTGGGCAGCCCCTGCCCAGAGGGCCCCTCCTCTCTCTAGGGAGAAAGCCTGAGAATACAGATAGGAACATGTGAACACAGCATCCCCCACCCCCGGAAGTCACACAGGCCCCAGGAGCATTCTCACAGGACAACAAGCAGGTGTTTGTCCTCACCTTCCACTACTGAGCTCTGGGGAATGAACTCAGGTCTTGGTGACAGACACACTAGCCACTGAGCTAGCCTGCTGACTCTGTGCCCAGGTGTCTCTAAGGGGTCCTAGGTCACGGTTACTCATGGGCCTGTAGGACAGCTGTGCAAAGGAGCAAGTGCTGGGGAGGGCACCTGGGCAGAGTGGAGAGTAGCCCAGAGCTGCCGTCTAGCACGGCCTCTGCCAAGCTGCCTGCTCTGCCACCTGCTGGCCTGCGATCTGGCTCCCCAGAAAGCTGTGTGCGCTTCAGTGACCTCCTCTGTGGAAGGGCCACACTAATCAGAGCTCTCCCCCATAGGCTACACAGCTACTGTATGTGCTGAGTTCAGCGCTTCTAGGGGCAGGAAAAGATAGTTAATGTATATGTGATTGTTGCTGCAATTAGAGAACCGTCTGGAAGGGGCAAGGCCTGCCCTGGGGTAAGGGTGGGGATGAGGGTAGGAGTGAGGGTGGGGGCGGGGGATGTTCCAAGCGGAGATGGGAGAGTACTGAGAAGCATCCACTGGGATCTGAGGAGTTGCTGTGTGTGTACAGGTGAGGGAGTAAGCATGTGTGGGCGGGCTACCCAGGACCCACCTCTCCAGCGACTCATTTGTAGAACTGACTCAGCGGCTCATTTTTCCATGAGTCAGAGACTTGAGGGTTCCCCAGCATTCAACTACTTAGCTCCTGGCCCACCCACGTCCCGCACGCCAGCATCTTGCTCCATCCACATCAGGCTTCTTCTGTAGGCTGCAGAATCCCCAGGCACCACCACTTCCAGGCACTGGAGCATAGACACTTTGTCTGTACTGAGGTCTACCCCAGAAAACCTCTCTGCAAGTGCCCACTGCCCGCTGCCTGCCATTGTCTGCGGTCTGTGTCCTTTCTAGACAGCGCTGCAGTTATGAGGAAGGGCACTGCCTCTGCCGTGAGATCCTCGAGGAAGACCCTCTCACAGTTTCTCATCTGTGAAGCAGGGAGAGAGCGGCCACACCCACTCCCCTGGGGCTGCTGCTGTGTGTGTGCATGGGGGGGGGGGTCGGAAATGAGGAAATACTCGAACAAGCTTGGAGCGTGGCTATTTCTTCTCTTGCCCCAAGTCAGGCTCCTGCCTGTCCTGTATACCCCAATATGCCAGGCAGTGGGATGACAGTAGGGTATGGGCCAGACCCCGCCCATCTTGGAGTTCATGTCCATTGTGATGCTGGGAAGGGGACACTATGAAGCTCAAGGACACAGAGAATAAAGTCTCCATAGACAGAGCACTTCCCTTCATTCTGGTGTCCTGTATAGTCTCATGTTAGAGCTTACGGAAAAAAAATCTTTGCTGAGTACACTCGTCAGAGCCAGCTACTTCCATACTTGTGATCTCATTTTAATCCCTATCACCCTTTGGGGTAAATATACAAAGTCTCATATTCAGGTGAAGGCACAGAGGTGTGGAGGGATTAGGTAAGTGGCCCGCCAGTCCCATGCCCGTCGCCTGTCTATGACTGGAGTGTGCTTAGCATGGTTAACAGCAGGCCAGGAAAGGTGGGACAGAGTCAGAGAGAAAGTTGCTTTGGGCGCCATTACTATCAGAAGCTGTACACAAGGCCATCCAAGGGTTATGCTGCCCTGGCCCATTCCTGAGAAGCCACCTGTCTGTTCCCCCTCCCCAATACCCCTCCTTTCCACCATCAACACAGAGGAGGCAGCTGCTGGGCAGTCTCGTCCCCCCCCCCCAAGCATGTTAAACTGTGACCCAGCAGGGGAACTAAAGCCCGGCTTGCATTAGGTCAGTGGTTCTCAACCTGTGGGTCGCGACCCCTCTGGAGGATCAGCTATCCTGCGTATCAGATATTTACATTAACAATTCATTACAGTAGCAAAATTGCAGTTATGAAGTAGCAGGGAAATAATTTTATGGCTGGAGGTCGCCGCAGCATGAGGAGCGTGTTGAAGGGTTGCAGCGTTAGGCAGGTTGAGAATCACTGCATTGGACGGGTCTGCAGGTAAGGTGTAATTTACACCATCTGGAGGCAGGAGCTGCCTTTTTTTTTTTTTTTTTTTGTCTCTGTGAATAATTGCTTCTATAGATAAGGACGAGTCGCTCTAAGAGCCAGGTGCACGGTCTGTGCAGGGGGTGGGGAACTGTACAAGGGGTGGCAGTGTTCCAGAGGCCTCTCGAGGAGCAGGAAGGAGCCTGGGTGGCCGGCAGCCAGCATCAACAGAGAGGTACACAGGTGAGGCCATGGGACTGCCCAGGGTTCCAACTGTGACCGGGAGGGGACCATGAGGGGAGCAGCGGAGACCGAGAGCTTATTAGCCTGCCAAGGAATCCTGGGAAGTGGTCGGGCTTTGCTGCCTCAAGCCCTGGTGTTTGGAGAGGTGGTTTTTATAGCACTCCCTAACCACAGGATGCTGGGTTCAGGGATACAAGAGGAGGGTCTCTTATGTGTGTCTGCCTGTTTGCCTGGCGTTGGCACCCTAGGGAGCAGAGGACATCCCAGGTGGCCACTGTCCCTGCAGCCTTCTAAGGACAAATAAACACAGAAACAACCTAAATCTGGCCAGTCCACTGACTTCACCGCGAGAGCAAAGCCCCATGTCAAATCAGTCAAACCACACCCAGCCGTTAGCTCCTGAGCTGTTTGTGTTGCATCCCTCCGAGTCTAGGGGTGCTTTGTTATACAGTGCTACCGCAACCATAGCTGACTGATACATCCCTCCGGTCTCTTTAGAACATATGTTTTTCTACAGACTACTTCACCACTTGATAATTCTCTCCTGGTTTTTCCTAAGAGAGACAGGCAGTGAAGTGATCATTTGTATAAAGTAGCATGGCAGGAGGCAGGGTTGGCAAAGAGCTGAGGAAAGGATGATCCTGTGGGGGTTTATCCAGCAGTCCAGAGTACCCCAAATCTGTCTGTCTGTCTGGTCTATCTATCTATCTATCTATCTATCTATCTATCTATCTATCTATCTATGGTACTCAAGATGGGGAAAAATATACAGAAAGAGATGTCCAATGTCTTCCACCTTTAATATAATTTTCATCCCTACTTCCTTGCTGGCTCTTGCCTGCCCTCTGACCTCAGCTTGATTTTCCTGGTGAGCATAACTTAGAGCTGGCTGCCAGGCCCTTTTACCTAGTGGTTGCAGGTAAACAAGAGCTACTTGAAATAGTGCCTTCCCATTGCTTGCACTGATTAGATACAAGCAAGGGAAGAAAGGTTGCTGCAAGAGAAAGGAGACTGGGAGTGGGGTGAGAGGAGGGGCCCAGGTGTGGACATTCTATGGCCAATGCCAAGGGTGGTATATCCATGTTGTCTGTGACCAGGAAAACAGCCCCTACTGTCAGTCTGATGGCAGGGGGATATTTTGGTCACAGTCAAAGAACACAAATGGACCAACCATACTCCTGAACTCAGGGACTTTTCCAGGGCTGTCTGGCAATGCCAGTGATGAAATGGATCCTGGCCTTTTCTGGTCTAGCTGATGGCAGACATCCCATCTTTCCTTGCTATTGCTGGTTGCAAAGCAACTGTGTCACACGCTTGGGCCGCCTAGGGAAAGGGGCAGCTCTGGATGAGCAGAAATTGAAGGGTAGAGGCTTCCCATGACATCCTTGCACTGACTGGTTTGAAGGTTGGCCACAACACTGTATGGGGGCTCCTTCTCCCTCGGCTTCATGGTGACACAATCCTGCAGTCCGTGACTTTGCACTTCTCACTCTGTCACTCCCACCCAAGAGCACGCATCAGAGCACAAGGACCCTTGTCATCGTGAGGGTACAGTCTGCCATTCATGTACTCTAATCTGTATACAGAACTAGCCTTCTTTCCATTTAAAACGATTCACATAAACTATTACTTTAAGGACTGGGAATGTACTTTGTGAAACTCATGACCCTCGAGGCCCAGAGACAGTGTTCTGGGGACCAACTTGAGAAGAGCTTTTTTGTTTGTGGTAATGAGTGAACTTACTTTGCTCCTGAGCCATCTCTTGTAGGCAGAAGTAGATGACTCTGGCTCCAAGGCTGAAGCCAACCAAGGTGACAGGTCTCTGGCCCTGAGGAGACACAGGACACAGATGTATGAAGAGGTTACAAGCAAGTTTGAATGTCTCAGTCCTTGAGCAGACCTTGAGCTCATCAGCACTTGCTTGTGTACGCATTACGGTCCCCTGAAGTTAATCGGTGGTCTCAGGGCCCTTATATGTGGGAGTTAGCAGCTCTGGGGTTGGTTTCCTCAAGAGCAGGTGGCCTCTGGCTGGCCTAATTCCCTTTCATCTCAAACCATTATCAGCCACAGCTCTTCCCAGGGAGGCAGAATGTGTCAATTACAAGGATTCCCTCCCTCTGCCTATGGCAAAGGATGGCAGTGATGCGGGCTTCCTCTGGGGATGGAGAGATTAGACACAAGGTGTAATGTGATGGGTATAAAGGCATGGGAGGAACTTCATGACAAGACAGTGATGGGGGGAGCCTGGAGGAAAGCCAAGGCATTATGGGACATGCTGAAGAAAAAGAAAATTGTGTGGGGAGTAAGGTCTGTCTGGGGAATAGGGTCTAGCTCCACATAGCAGTCAAAGCTGCTGACCATCCTAGCGTCCTTTCCCTCTCCGTCCTGAGCCTTTAGGCACACAGAGAGGAAGCTTCTGGAACTCCTAAGCTAAGGGTGTTCCCAGGGTGGGAGTCCTGGCTGGGTGACGGAAGACCAGGGACAGCCACGACTTCCAGGAATGCCTTTCATTTCTATATTTACAAATATACATATGTACACGGAAGGGAGGAGGAGCAGGGAGAAAGAAGCCTGAGGATACTCCACATACTTTGAAGTTGGATGAGGGGCGACTGGCAGAGGACAGAGGCCTCTGGGAGCTGGAGAAGGCTAGGAAGTGGATGCCTCCTTCCAGTCTCCATAAGGAAGGCAGCTGTGCAGGCATGTTCGATTCCTGCTCTCCATACTGTGAGGAGAGTGTGCATGAGGTAACTTCCATCATCTTCCTTGGTCACTGACACCCACACCGCTATGTGGGAGGCAATAGGTTTCATCCCGTTTAGCCCATGCCACTTTTGTCTTTGCCTTCCAGCCGGATCTGCCAAAGGGCTACTCTGGTTTTCCTTTTCACTTGGGGAGGGTGAGACGCAGGGATTGGCTGGAGTTAGTGGTTTCCCAGGCAACATCCCCACGTTGGCAGAAACTGCTGGGCCTCTCAGCATCTCCACTCCCCTTTGTCCGCAGTCATTGAATTTCAGCTGGCTGCATGCCTTTTCAGAATAAAGACTGAGTTTCCTGGCGTTTTGGACAGTGAAGTGTGATCATGTGACTAGTCTCTGGCCAGGGAGATGGCCACTGGGAGGCTGTATGGTGCCTGCTTTGACTCCTCAGGTCTTCCTTTCTCTTGCCTCCTGGTGCCCAAATACTGCCATCTTGGAGCAGGGAATCAAGGCCATACCCAGGGAAACAATGGTGTGGCCTTGACTTTCTGCCCAAGGAGAGAAGCCTCTTTCCCATGGCACATACCATCAGAGTACCTGACAGTTATGCTAGGCTTCTCCAGTGAAAATAAAGTTCCACCTTGAGAGTGTGTATGTATGTGTGTATGTTTCTGTATGTGTATATGGGTCTGTGTTCATGTATGTGTACATACGTATGCTTGTATATGTATGGTGTATATGGATGTACATGTATACACTCCGTGTGCCTGTATGTGTGTGTATGTGTGAGTACTCTCACACAGGCCAGAGATCAACACTGAGAAGCTGCCTGTCTTGTGTTATGAAGCAGTGTCTCTCACTGGGCCGGGGCTTTCTGACTTGGCTAGCCTGGGTGGCGAGTGAGCCCCAGGAATCCACTTGTCTCCACCTCCCCAGAGATGAGATTAAAGGTGTGTAGCACATGCCCACATCTGGTCATGTGTCCCTCCACCCCACAGAATTTCTCTGTGTAGCCCTGGCTCTCCTGGAACTTGGTCTGTAGACCACGATAGCCTTAAACTCTCTCTCTCTCTCTCTCTCTCTCTCTTACTCTGTCTCTTTGAGACAGGGTTTCTCTGTGTAGCCTTGGCTGTCCTGTACTCACTTTGTAGACCAGGCTGACCTTGAACTCACAGAGATCTGCTTTGCCTCTGCCTCCCTGAGCTCTGGGATTACACTTTTTTTGTTTTGAAATGTAGATTCTTGGGACAGGCATTTTATCAAATCTCTCTGGTCCTAGATCCAAATTTTATTTTAAAGCTATTTAAAAAAAAAAAAAGCTTTGTTTGTTTATGTGTGTCTGTGTATGTCTACCACATACATAATATGCAGGTGCCCAAGGAAGCTGGAAGAAGGAGTCAGTTTCACCAGCTGCAATTATGGATGGTTCTGAGTAACCTAGGATACTTTCCTGATTTGATGGTGCTAAGTAACCTAGGATACTTTCCTGATTTGAACTTGAGTGGCAGTGAAGACTACCTTCTCCCCCAAAGCTCCTGGGCTTCTTCCAACAAACTTACTGTTGGAGTTCCCATCAGCATACACAGTGTGTACATCAGTATACAAGCTTGCCCTGTCTGCCTTCCCCTTCCACCCCAACCATTCTCAGTTACCTGTTGCCTCGAGAGGAGGATGTGTGCCAGGTGCTTGCCAACCTCTGCGGAGCGATGGAGACACACCCCCCAGGGATTGTCGATGACGTTGGCCACACTGAGGAGGGAGGCTGGCCAGGTGAGGGCAGCCACAATACCTGAGGAGACAGGAGCCCAGAGATGAATTGGGGACAGCCTTGCTTACGGTAGTGTGGTTGATGGATGGGTAAAAAACATGGGTGGAGTCTGTAGAGCCAGGGATCTGAACGGTTTCATTTCTCCCATGGGTATCCGTCAGCTTGGTGTCTTTAAGAGGAGAGACACATGGGACTCTCCTCTTAAGAGCCAGGCCCTTCAGGTTGCCTCAGATAAGCTGGCCTGATTCAGGGGACAGCTGAATGACCCACAGATCCATGAACAGGCCCAGTTTAGACAAGCCAACCCCAGCCTTGCTGCTCCTGGGCTATTAGAATAAAGGATTATTATGCCATGAGTCTGGGGGAAACTTGTCATGCAGCAGTAGACAATGGATACATTATATGATTGGCTGGTGCCTTGTGTCTTGGCACAAAAGTCACAAACTTTTCACAAAGGAAGCTGAGACAGGAGAATTGTAAGTTGAATGTCTGCCTAGGCTACTGAGCAAGTTCAAGGTCAGCCTGGGCAAATTAATGAAACCCTGCCTCGAGACAAAAAGTAAACACAAACTTCCTTGGGGAAGAGGAAGGATATGATCAAAATATATTTAAAAATTGTTTTAAATAACAATAAAAATACTCAAGTTAAAGATTAAGCCATTTATCTTATCTCCAAATGTATAATAAAACATTTTTTGCCTTCTCCACCAAAACAAAAACAACAAAAAAGTAAACGCAGCAGCGTTGGAGACGTGCTAACCTGTGGAATGCTTGTTTGGTGTGCCTGCGGCCCTAGGTTTGATCTGCACCCTCTGTCTCTGGCACAGAGCCAGGCTCCCTTGAGTCACAGACATGCAAGGAATTGGTGCCACTGTGTCATGCCATGGCTGGTCAGGGAGGGGTGCTTACCAGAGAGCATGGTATACTTGAGAGCCTCCTGGGCCACCATGTTAGCGAGGCCACTGAGGATGGTCTCCAGGGCATTGCCCAGCTCCATCAGGTACTTGGCTTCCCAGGCCAGGCAGTACTGCTCCTGACTGCGGGCTAGGGCCATCCACGGGGCGCTGAATGTGCCTGAAGAGAACATAGATAGGTGTAGGCAGCATCCTCTACTGCCTGGGACAGAGGATGCCCCAGACACTGACTCAGACAGACAGCAACAGGGGCCTCTTTCTCCTGAGGGTTCACCCCTCAGGACTCCATCAACTGTAGTCAGCATGGCAGATGAACACACTACTGCCCTGTCAGTCTGTTCAGAGATGGCTTCCAGTCCTTCCTTGCTTTAAGAGCTCAGTGACCTTGGGAACATCACCACCTGACCTTGAACCTCACTTTGCTCATCTAGGAAGTGGGAAGATGTCAGGTAAGAGTTTGAATTACTCCGAGGTAAATTATTCCTTTTCCTCAACCAGGAGGCATTCCAGCACCAATCTGTCAACACACAGGGGTCTAGCATGGAGGCCCTGTGAGCCGACAGCACCTAGACTGCAGAAACGCCAACTGGGAAACAGTCAGATTTGGAGGTCTGGGTGGGAAGAGGCAGGGTCACGCCAATGTTCCCAGCCTCTGTTTCCTTACCTGGGACATCAATGGGAAATGACCCTGAATGAGGACGAGGAGACAGAATTCCCAAAGAGACCATGGTACACCTGTTCCCTCCTCCTCTCCCTATAGCCCTCTGTCTTTAGAGCCCAGTCTGGCACCCGATCTGGTCCTACCTGTTTCTGCCTGTGGCAGGACACAGATCTGATACACATGCTTAAATGGCATTATTTCTATTAGCGCCTTACTTTCTTCCCCTGGTCCTTGGGGTCCATGCATCTTCCATGGCCCTTCTGACAGATAAAAGACACCTGTATTCCCCTGGCCTCCAAGTTCTTGTCATTTGGTGTCTCTGCTATTTTACGACTTTCATAAGAAGACAGAGAATGGCTCTGTTGCGTACCACTGACTATTGAGGGCTTGGCTTGCTGTGGAGCATGTGGTAAGGCTGATACTCAAAATACAGTTGGGTGACTGAATGATGGTGGGTTATGGATGATAGGTGGACGGGGAATAGTCTATAAAGATCACTGACTGACTGGCTGGCTGCATGGATGGATGGATGGATGGATGAATGGGTGAATTCTTATTTGGATGATGGATGGTTGGATACACGGGTATATGGATAAAAGATGGTCTTCTCTCCTGTCTTGGTCTATCCCCCCACTCTGTGAAATGAACCTCCCATACCCACACCCAAGAGACACATAGAAATAACTAGTCCAGGTTCTGTCTGACCAACAGACAGAGCAGACCTGGCTCATCTGAGTCCCTCCCCACCACGGTCCTCACGGTATCTGCCGGACCCGAGCCAGCCAGTGATGGCGATGGTGATATGTAGCTGCCTGCCTTCCGTCAGAGGCAGAAACATGAACTCCTCAATGGCCCCGACCCGCTTCTTCATCTTGTACCCTAAGGACACAGAAACGAGCAACTGTATTCATGTGTTCACACACAGAGCACTGCCTATGTGCTCTGCTCCTGGACAAATGCATTTCACTCTTTAAGACAGGTACCACTGTTGTCCCTTATTAGGGGACAGGAAGACACTGCCCAAGGCCACTAGAGCCACAGACCAGGGTCTGAACTCAGGCTCTGAATCATCACCCTGTTCTGCATCTGTTCATGTCTGTATTCTTGCACTTCCTGCTGGGCCTTAGCCTTTACTGGAGGTGATGCCGACCATGATTATTGGCACCACACGTCTGTGTGCCATAGGGGCCACTGGCACAGGTGAGGCTGGAGAGCCGAGGCAAGGACACAAGGAAACTTCATGCCTCCATGGAAAAGTGCCTGGGTATTTCCTGGGTAATAGCGACAGATTTGGCTGGACTCTTTCTCAGCAAGTACTCACGGCTTTCACATGGGAAAAAATCAGTTTGTCAAACTTTGTCCTGACCCTGGCTCTGCTGATTACAAGTCCAGCAACTTCTGATGGCAGCTTCCCAGTCTGGCTTCGCTAGGACCCGGAAGGGACAGAGCCGCATTTCCTCATCCCCAGCAAGAAGCCACCTTGAGTCATGATGGATAAAAATCCTTTCCAGGTCCTCATTTTTCTTTAACCTTACCTGTCAGGCCGGCTCCAGCCGCGCCGAACAGTGAGGTCATAACAGCTATGCCAGCCACCGAGCCCAGTGCGGCTGCCCCAGCACTGCCAATGATTGTTGCGGCTCCCGCAGCGACGAGGGGGGCAGCTAGGCCCCCAGTCACACCTGCAGGGTAAGAGCTCAGTCAGGACACAGCTTAATCGGTTCTTTTTCCATGTGCTGCCCACTGCCTGCCTTCTATGGTATTTCCAGCAATGCCTCTAATTTATTTTCTTTTTTTTTTAGAGACTGTCTCAAGGAGCAAAGGCTGACCTTGAACTCCTGATCCTTCTGCCTCTATCTCCTAAGAGCTGGGATTAGAGGCAAGCAGTACCACACTGGGGCAGCGTCTCTCCCGTTAATGAGTATATTTACTACTGGCCTGGGCGCCTGTCACGTGCTGGGGCCACCTCCCCACCCACTGATATGCAGACCACAGGCTATCTATCCCCTGCTGCGGGCCTCACCGATCACTGTCCCGCCTCCAACGGTAGCCAGGCCTATCAGGAGATAGCGTTTCCATTTCCTCCGTTTTTCCTTTTTCTTCCGGGATGCCTCTGCGGTCCTGGAGAGAAGAGGCTGGTCTATGGATAGCTCTGGGCCAGAATCCCTTGAGGCCTCCCACCTTACCAACCCCTAAACCAGAGATCAATGATAGGTAGGCCCTGAGCCCATCAGTGGCTGGGGAAAAATCTCAGTGAATGGAGCACACTACTTACCCAGCAGATCCATCCTATTGGGTGCAATTTAATAATGGAAAGACAATAATAATAATAATAATAATAATAATAATAATAATAATAATAATGAACAGCAACAAAAGCAAACAAAGCAAAGAATAGCTTTCACAGAACAAATGGACCTAGAAGGAGTACAGAATGTGCTCCTATCTTGTCAGCAGATTCCACCTCCCCTGGGGGTTTCCTCCAGAGAAATTACTTGTGCGATGGGCTAGGGAAACATTGGTATGGGAGATGGCCGCCTTGTGGCCACAGCTGAATTGGTCCAGACTCTAAACTCAGATACTACAAACCCAGCCAAAGATTAGGAGGGGCACTTGCAGTGAGAACAGCTGGGGTTTTGTAATTTATGTCTTAGGTCTTTGAGAGAGGGTCTCAAAGGCCAGGTAGGCCTCTAATTCTCTATGTAGCTGAGGACAATCTCGAACTTAGGATCCTCCTGCCTCCATTTTCCAAGCGCTGGAATTACAGGCATGCACCAGCACGCTCAGTTTATGGGTCACAGGCATGCAGCCCAGGGCTCTGAGAACGTTCGCTGAGCGCACCACCAGCTTCGCAGCCTTCACCAGCCCCTCCAGGAATGGCTGTCTTGGTGCTCAGGGTCAAGATGAGCAGTTTTTCTGATGGACCTTTAGCCCTTGGCTGCTTTAAGGTGATCGGAAACAAGAAGAGAGGTGGAGGGTGGGTGGAGAGGCCATTAACAGAGAACTCTGAACTGAAGCTGGAATTTGGACCACTGAACGCAGAGTGCCCATAAATGACGAGAAACAGTTAATATTTAGTGAGTGCTTCCTCTACAGCAAGCCTCCACACTGTGCACTTCCCATTCTTTTGCCAAGGGGCAGTTTATTGTAGTCCCACGGTCTGATGCTTTAAGAGTACAGTGGTACAGCGGGGCGTGGTGGTGAATGCCTTTAATCCAGTAAGTAAAGCAGAGGTAGGTGGGTCTCCGAGAGCCAAGGCAGAGTGGAGGCGCGGGTGGGGGTTACACAGAGAAGCTTTACCTCCCCATGCCCCTCAAAAGGGATAATAGTGGTTATTCCAGAGGGGCTGTATGAGAGAGACAGAGACAGAGATAGAGAAGAGAGACAGAGAGCTAAGAGAATGCTTAAAATCCTTATAAAGTACAATCCTTGGTAGTAACAGTGGCCATTGCTGCCATATAACATAGGCTGAGCCTCAGTCTTCTACAAAATGAGGACAATAATACACATCTTTTAAAAGAGACATTTTTACTACATTAATTCATTGTGTGTGTGAGTGTCTATGTGCAGGTTTGAGAAGAACATGGCAGTTGCTCTCTCCTGCCACCATGTCGGTCCCAGTGTTAGAACCTGGGTCATCCACCCCGCAAATGGACAAGGCCCTGGCCCACCCCCCTGGAGTCTGCATATCTGTGGGCTGGAATTCCTTGTCCCCATCCATGCTCAACCAATGTGCTCATACCCTTCCTCATGAGCAGAACCAAGACATGGATTTGCCGCAGGCACCAAGGAGCTGGTGAATGTTTGGCTTCTCATCAGTGCCAGCTCATTTCAACACACTTTTCTCCTGAGGCCCCTGTGTGGAAAGCAGCTGCTCTCCACTGCTTCCCTGAAACCAAAGATAAGAGTCTCAGCCTGCCATGGGTGCAGGTTTCCGTGATAAGGTGGAACACGCACCTGGCAGGTGGAAGGCGAGAAGTGACTAAGAGTGAAGGAGTCTGGGGTCAGAATCTAAACTGTGAGACCCGACAGTAGCTCCTCAGTATTGGTGGGAGTTGATTCTAGGTGTCCCAAAGGGCACCAGAATCCACAGTGACCCATGTCCCTCATATCCGCATACATTTGCATATAGCTTTTGCCTGTCTTCTTGAATGCTCTAAAGGTGTTTAGATTTCATATATATCACACAATATAGCAAGGCATGTGTCATGGTATTCACTCTGTTTGGGTAAAATGACAAGGGAAATAAAGTTCATGTAGTAGAACTTATTTTAAAAATAGTAATTATTTTAGGATGATAGAGCATATCTGAATCCCCACTAATGAGGATGAGGAGGCACCTTGTTTCAAATATGTATGTGTGTGTGTGTGTGTGTGTGTGTGTGTGTGTGTGTGTATTCATGATCCATGGTTGGTTGACTTGGAGGGCCTCAGAAATGTCATAGTTGAAGACTGTTCACCCCTGTACTGCCAGCTGCCAGCTGCTGGCCAGTTTTCCGCAGTGAAACACGAGGGTGGTGTAATACTGCCATTTCTGGCAAAGTCTTTAAAAGCCATTGCAGGAGGCCGACGGGTGACGGGTTTCCTTTGCTCTAACCTGAGACTGACAGCATTCCATGCAGCCACCGACTCATCAGCCTGGAGCTCAGAACCAGGGCAACGTAGATAAGACCACATCTGATCTTCAGTGGGTGCAGAAGAGCAAGAAATAAGCCCTTGGTGTGGCAGGCCACAGGATTGGGGGGGAGGGGCTACCTGTTACAGCAGCAAAACCTGCCTCAGGGACAGAGCCAGTCACAGAACCTGTGACTTTGTACAGATTACATCTGAACCTTCTGAGCCAGTAAACACCGTGTGTGTGTGTGTGTGTGTGTGTGTGTGTGTGTGTGTGTGTGTGTG